GACTCGGTATAAATCAGTCCCTGAACTTTTAACTCGCTTAAAACCTAGTACTTAATATTTACTCCATTTAAAAATTATATCCTTATCACCTATAACTCAAAATGAGTCATCCAACATGGCATGAATGAGCTGCCATATAAGAGCCACATCAGTATAAGGAGAGAAGGGGGAAAAGCCTGGGTAATCAACGATCCCAAAAAGAGGCTGTTGCCAGGGAAGACAACCCAATTCCGATATTAAAACAGTTACCCTCAATGACCACTCATTAAAAAGCCTAGGCACTGAGATCTAAGAATATGTTTACTTTTTCCGCCTACATTGTAACATCTATAGGTCCTGGAGTGCAGCTGTAGCCACCCTAGGGTGTCGCTCGTGGATATTATCTTTTGGTGCAGTCGTAGCCACCTCACGGTTTTGTTCCCCTGGGTGAAGCCATAACCACCCAAAAAACGCGTCTGCGAGGGAGAGGTATCTGCACTCTTATAAGGCATGCTTCATTCCCCTCTCCAGCCGATGTGGGACTTCACATGCATAGATGTTCTCTGTCGTGACAATAGCCATCCTTTAATGATGCTTTAGATATAAGAACAATTGAAATTGAACATAGGGAAATTGCAATAAAGTCTCACTCAAGGAAATTAAATATAAAAAAATCTCTTAAAATCATTAAATTATTTTAAAGTCTCAAGAGACCTCATTGTAATAAATTTTATTTATTTAATTACTAACTTGCCCTTTTTTTTTATTAAGTTTGCATTGACAATTAAAAGAACAGTCATTGACAACTTAAGGTGTAAGTATTGACAACTATCGCATAGGTATTGACAACATATTTTCTCACACATCACAAAATGTAATGCATAAGTTGTCAATACCTGCAGCGATAGTTGTCAATCTTTACACCTTAAATTGTCAATAACTACTCTTTTAGTTATCAATGCAAACTTAAAAAAAAAAAAAGAGCAATTTGGTAATTAAACAAATGAATTATTTTATAATAAGGTCCTTTGAGACTTCAGAATAATTTGATAATTTCAAAGAACGTTTTTGTATTTAATGCTCTTGGGTGGGACTTTGGTGCAATTTTCCCTTGAACACAATAGCTCACTAATAAGAATCCTCCTCCTCCACTATCTCGGACCTTTTTTTTTTTCCCTATTGTTTTGCATAGTCATAGGATGAATGAGTAACGAAAAAAATGTTTGGAATGTAATTCAGTAAATAGTTGTCCTTATATGGAGTGACTTCGAAGCACGTATTTTCAATCTGTGGGTCACTTGTTTTCTATACAATGGGTAGGCACAGTGTGATTTTAAGCATCAAGCACAGAAGATGGAATTCAATTAGAGAAAACGAATTAATGATTTTGTTAATGTACTCGAGACTCATGTATTTGGTGAGTGTGTCATTGAGGACAACTGTTTTGGTGTCAGAATTGGGTTGTCTTCTCCAACACTGGCCTTTTCTTTGGCATCGTTGATTGCCCAGGCTTTTCCCCCTTCTCTCCTTATGCTGATGTGGCTCTTATATGGCAGCTTATTCATGACAGGTTGGATGACTCAGTTTGACTTATAGGTGATATAATTTTTAAATGCAGTAAATATTAAAGATTGAGTTTTAAGCTAGTTACAAGTTTAGGGATTTAGTTACATCGAGTCATAATTAAAAGATTGAGTCACAACTGAGTTAAAACTTACAAGACCAAAAGATTAATTTTCTCTTTAACTTTTTAAGAGTCATATTTGATTAACATTTTAGTTTCAAGGGGGAAGAAGAGTTCATTATTGTTAATTTTAAATTACCTTGTTCTTTAGGCGAGTTTCAGTTTAACATTTTTACTTCTATATCAGTAGGTAGAGAAAAGCTTGCAGAAGACAAAAAAAAAAAAAACCATGATTTTAAGCTCTCAAAACCTAAGCTTCAGATAGGAGAATTGGGGCAGGAGGATAGGACTAGCAGTGATTCAATGTTTATCTTTTCTTATTTTTGTCTTTGTATTTTCATCTTTTTTGTTTTATAACATTTCTTAGATTATTTGGTCTTGAAAAACTCCATACTATCTTTGTGTATGATTTTCATAAATTGTCTTTATTATTTTTTATCAATAATTAGTATATTTCATAATCAAAATTAGTTATATAAATTATAGGGAAAATTTCAATTAAGGACCGTAGATGGGAATTAATTTCAAACAGTCTCCAAAAAAATTTGAAATTTCAGTTAAGGATTTTGAAATTTCACTGAAGGACTAGGAGGCAAACTGAAATTAATTACTGAAGCCATTTTACTGAAATGCCCTGCGAACTGCATCTGCTGAAAAGGAAGAAGAAAGAGGAAAAAAGAAGAGCTTGGTGTGTGAGATAAATCGTTTTTCCCAAAATTTTCGTTCTGTTGAGCATAATTGGGTTGTGATAGTTGAATATATAGAAATAGTGTTTAAATACATGGGTAAGTAGGTAGTAAGGGAGAAAATATCTGATACAGCTTTTAAGTTTAGAGAGAGATTGTTATCTTCTTTTTCTTTAGAGAGAGATTGTTATCTTCTTCTTCTTTGAAGATAATAAACATGAGGTGTTAGTGATTTTTGAAAAGTGAGTGAGAATGGGTGAACACTGACTGTAATACGTTGTTGAAGGAACTTAGGAAGGGAGAATTGAAAGAAAAATAGGTGAATGTGCTGAAATGGGTGATATGAAAATGAAATGTGCAGAAAAATGGTAACTTGCAGTTGTGAAAATATGTATTCGGATTGTAAATTTGCAAATTGAAGTTGTGCAGGAAAATGGCAATTTAATGTTATGAAAACCGGTATTTCTGTTGTAAACCCGTAAATTCCTGTTGTTAACGCATATTGTCTATTATTATTGAAAGTTGATTGAAATTGATAGTTGAATGATATGCAGCAACTGATTATAAATGGCTACTGGTGGCGGGAAACAACTATTTTGCATCTTCGATATGGGAGGGGAATTTGTGAAGACCTTAGAAGGAAAATTAGTATATGAAAGGAGTATTATAAGTAGAAGATTGATTAGAAAAGGGATAATGTATGAAGAACTACAAAGCATGGTAGCAAATGATGTTTGGCTAAGCAGTGGTCAATATAAAATGAAGTATACAGTTAGTTTGAACAGGAAACATTTTTGGACCTTATCGATGATATTGAAGTAGGACAATTAATTAAGTACAACGATAATAGTTGGCATGTTTATGTTTGCAACAATGAGAAAGACTTGAGACAAGCATCACAGTTGGACAGTGCACGAGAGTAAGTGGACATATTTGGTGGTGGGTTGTAATCTTTTTCGTATAATGAATTGATAGTTGAAATATTTCTTGACTGTACGTGACAACAAGCTATCCCAAATTCTGTGCTAAAATTGGCTGGTAAAATTATAAATGTATGAAAGATTTTGTCCATTTGTGAATGAATGTATTTCTGTTGTTAATTAATGTATTGTTTTTGCAAATTCTCTAATTCCTGTTGTAACGCATGTATCATTTTAGCACATTCCCTAACTCCTGTTGCCAATTACGTAAGTCCATTTATGAATACACGAGTTCCTGTTCTAAATTTCCCAACGCTTTTTGCAAATTGTCTAAACCTAATCGTGAACACACTTGACAGACTCTAGCGTGATGGTTCAGTTATATTTTAAAAAACCACTTGCAAAAACAGGAGCCCCTGTTGTAAACTTAGCTATTATTGTTGCAAATTCCCTAATTCCAGTAGTTAATCATTTACACTCAAAGTATGAAATTTGTGGGGGGAATACATTATCATTAGTAGACATGTAATAAACACATAATATATAGTTCATTGCACTGAAAATGAAATTGTGGGTAATCCTTACGATAAAAATTGACACATCCTTTGCTAACATAAAAGACATCTTGAGCTGACAGATCCCTCTTCAATTTTCTCTTGGTTGTGTTTGTATCTTTGCAAGTAGTTGTACAACAGCTGCCAACCGTGTATTTCTTGCATGAGTAATGAGTCGTCACAGCAAGTTTGACCTTAGGGAACTGAGTTCTTCCTATTGTATAACATTAAGAACCATCAAATAAGGGACACAGTGGAGTACAAGATTGAAATCTAAAAATAATGCATTCATAGATAAGCACTTAATCAACTCATACTTCTGCAAAATAGTTGTTTCTCGCCACTAATAACCATTTATAATCCGTTATTGCACATCATTCAACTATCAATTTCAATGAACTTTCAATAATAATAGATAGTATGCGTTAACAATAGGAATTTGTGGGTTTACAATAGAAATACCGGTTTTCATAACATTAAATTGTCATTTTCCTGCACAACTCCAATTTGCAAATTTACAATCTGAATACATATTTTCACAACTGCAAGTTACTATTTTTATGCACATTTCATTTTCATATCACCCATTTCAGTACATTCACCCATTTTTCTTTCAGTTCTCCCTTCCTAAGTTCCTTTAACAACGTATTACAGTTAGTGTTCACTCATTTTCACCCACTTTTCAAAAATCACTAACACCTTATGTTTATTAACTTCAAAGAAGAAGAAGATAACAATCTCTCTCTAAACTTAAAAGCTATATTAGATTTTTTCTCACTTACTACTTACTTACCCATATATTTAAACGCTCATTTCTACATTATTCAACTATCACAGCCCAGCTATGCTCAATAGAACAAAAATTTTGGAAAAAATGATTTACCCCACTCACCAAGCTCTTCTTTTTCCCTCTTTCTTCTTCTTTTTCAACAGATGCAGTTCGCATGGCATTTCAGTAAAATGGCTTCAGCAATTAATTTAGTTTGTCCCCTGGGTTATTCAGTGAAATTTCAGAATCTTAACTGAAATTTTAGATTTTTTTTTTTGAGCTGTTTGAAATTAATTCCCACCAGCGGTCCTTAATCAAAATTTCCCTAAATTATATAATAAAACTATAAAATCCAGGCTGCCCATTTTATTACCATTTGTTTTTATTCTCAGCCTGTTTTTCTTGAACTTATTTCTTTGGTGCACATTTATATAGCTATTCTCAGCAGTGGCTTTGTGTTTTTTAATCCCCAATAACAGGTCTCACTTATAAATGCATCAAGATGTTACCTTCTTTTTTTTAACCCAAAAAAGTTTGTTAAATTTGTTTGTCAACTTTTCTACCGTTAGATCCATTAGTCCCTGCAGTTAAACGACTGTTAACGCCGTTAAAATTTTTGCTTGGACGTCTGAACATCTCCACTGTTGTGCTTTGAACCGAGACAAGTGGTGTTCTGTTGTCTTCAAATTCAAAGCCTCAATCTCACACCAACTTTTGTTAGACTCTCATATACGGATACTCCACTTTTTCTTGCCTCTTTGACAAACCCACTGCATTTTCCACCTCCTTTCCTTCTCTCTCCTTTTTCTTCTTCAACAATTCACAAAAATGAATCTTCTTACTCCTAACCATATTGATTATGATTTGGTCTTTGCTTAGTCTGTCAATATCCATTGTCATCCTCGCCATAATCCTATTCCTTGCCTGCAAAAAGAAACTGCAGCAGAATCCAAAGAAGCACTCCCTGTAAAAATCTGTGCTTGTTCATACCTAGCAACATCGACGCCAAAACAGAGGCTTCAACCACCGGAGAATCGTCGACAAGGTCTGACTCGAAACTGTGTACGCAAGATTACTCAGACCAAGACAAGCTCGCAGCAGTCAAAAGGATTCACCCTTGACTTGTTCTGAGCAACGCAGAACTTTGTGTTCTTTTCTATGATAAAACAGCTCTCATTAGCACAACACCCCAACATAGTTCCCATCATGGGTTTCTCAGAAGAAGCCGACGAGAGAATCATAGTGAGTGAATTGGGTAAGCCTGTAACTGTATCTGCATCAAACACAAGTGGGCTTCGCTTTTGGATAAGATGAAGAGGTTGAAAATCGCGACAGGAGCACAAGGAGGGTTTGAGTATTTGCACGAAGTGGTTGCACAAAGCATAGTTCATGGTTGTGTCAAGTCATCCAACATCCTCATCGGTGTAAACTTCTGTGCCAGAATTTCAGGCTAAGGACTCAACTTTTTGGCACCGAAAGAGGAGAGAGAGATAGTGGGGTAGTGTGAACGGAAGAGAGTGGAGGTGATATCAACTGGACAAGAGATAGCTGGCGGAAACGGGTCAGGCTAAATGGCGAAGGAGATGTCTCAAACGTCCTAACGGAGATTTTAACAGCATTAATAGTTATTTAACAGTAAGGATTAACTAATCTAACAGTAAAAAAAATTAAAGGATTTAATAAAAAAATACTACTCCGGTCCTTAATATAAGACCCCGTTTGACTTTTTGTTTGGTCCTAATTATAAGACCCCAATCTATTTTTCTCTCATATTTATACATTTTTTCCAAGATAGTCCTTCTAATTGATAGTTCTAGCCAATACACTTAATTAGCAAGGATATTTTAGGAATAACAACACTTATTTATTAAAATAACTATTAACTACTTCCTTAATCTCTTCAAATAAGTCAACTGGGTCTTATAATTAGGACTGGAAGTAGTATATAAGTACCTAATTCAAAATAGATAAAAACTATAAGGACTTCCAAATTAAGTTTTCTTATTATTTAAGTTGAAATAAATTATTAATTTAAGACAGATTTTAATTGTCTTTTTTATTATACGTGAGAATTTCTTGCAGTAAGAACAAGAGGGAGTATGAGATTCAAAGAGATGATCAGCATCAATTACGCGCCATCATGAAGATAATTTAATTTAATCATGGTCTTCAACGTAATTTTTTTTAACGAGCGCGATGACACTTTGGAATTTTTTTTTGGACCGGGATGATACAGTGGATGTCTACATCACGTGACAGGAATAAAGATGAGAAAAGCAAAGAGCACTATCACTTTTGTGAGGGCAATTATTAGAGTATTGTTACTACTACTTACTTTGGACTTTAAATACTCATGTGGTTATTAATATAGAATGTAATTAGAAAATTAATATTAGTCTTATATATAACATTTATTTTACATATTTATATATTTTTTAAATTAATCTTATTGATATTTTTTAGTAATAATCAAGTAGAAGAGAAAGGAAAATTAATTAAAAAGATGTTTATTGTTTTTAGAAATATATATCATATTAACTAATTTAATTAACATTTTTATCTATTTAAATCAATTAATTAGATCCTACGTGATCGGGGAGTATTAAAAATGTGAACTTGATTAGTACATGAACCTTAATTTTCTACGATTAATTTTTATATGCATTGAAGCTATGTTACAAGCTTGAACTTGATTAGCACAAGAATCTTAATTTTCTAAGAGAAGCAAACCCAGGTATTTTAAAAATATTTTTATTTGTTATCACGAGCCTGTGGTTCGCCTTGCCCTTCTGTCTCAAAAGAAACGTAATTCATTTCCCCTTGTTCTTCTCCATCGGCTCCTTTTCCAAACTCGCTAGGCTTCTAAAGAAAAAGGCGAAAAGCCTACTCGGCTGGCGGGGTGGCTACTTTCACCAAGCCTTCATCACACCTTCATTTCCTGAGAAAATTCTTGCGAGGTGAGATTTAGAAGCAGCAAAAGCTTCTTATATCTCTTTCTTCTTCTTCTTCTGATCATTGTGGCTTGAGACAGAAAATGGACCGTACGGATCGACCAGCATCTTCACCTCGGTGGCCGGCGACGGGATCCTCTCCGACGAGTGAAGACCATATGACGTCTCGCCCCGAGGGGCGCCTCAATCATTAGCAATTAATGACGAGATGAGCTTGGAGGAGTTTTCTGGTAAAAGCTGGGGTAGCAAGGAACGAGAGGCCGCACGGATCATCAGCGAAAAACCAGAGGGCGCCTCAATCATCAGCAAAAACTGATAACGAGATGAGCTTGGAGGAGTTTCTAGTTGAAGACGGGTTAGCGAGTAACAAGAAGGCAAATTCATTAGGAAGTAACGAGAGGGCAAATTCATTAGGAAGCATGAGCTTGGAGGAGTTTCTGGTTAGCGCTGGGTTAGTGCTTTTATTTTTCGCCAAGTAATAAATATTAATTTTTTCATTTTTATTTTAAAAATATTTTTTAATGAAAATTTATTCCAAGATTTAAATTTAGAGGTTTATTGTTGCTAAAAACATGTAATGATTATGAATTTGTACTGCTTAAATGATAAATAATGATGTTGGCAAAAATGATATAAATATTATTCCACTTTTAGATTTACATTATTTTAGTATAAAATTTTGTTGTTCGACATATAAATTTACTCCTAGACTTGGATGTTTATTTCCTTCTATGTTTATTTTATTACTGACGGTTCACAGTTTTGAGTTAAGTGAATAAATAACAGCTGTTACATTTGTGTTTCAGATTTAGTTACGTTATGTGTCCTTCATCAACAAATATTTCAATGTTCAATATCATTTAATACCCTAAATTCATTGGGAAAAAAACCCTAAATTATTTTTTTTTGAGTAGTTCCTAGACTAATTTTTGCCCCATCTATCGTCTAAGGTATTTTTCCAATAGTATTAGTATCTTAAAATAATTTTATGCATCTAACAGTCTAAAATATTTATTTATTAGTACCCAATATTATGTATTAATAGTATACAATATATATTAATATTATGGAAAAAATTTTTAAAAATATCCAGGGCAGGTTGAGCCACAATGCTCCAGTCTTGCCCACGTCCCTGTTTTTTTGTTTTTTGTCCTGTTCGGCAAATGTGAACATCCCTCATTTAACATTTTAAATTTAAGGTGTTAGTTGCTAATAAAAAATATTTAAATAAAATTATACTACCTCGTTTCTTAATATAAGAACCTGTTTGACTTTTATTTTGGTCTTAAATATAAGATCCCAATCTACTTTGTCTCTCATATTTACTTAATTTTTTCCAAAATAATCCTTTTAATAATTATAGTTCTAGTTAATACACTTGATTAGCAAAGATATTTTAAGAAAGACAACACCTATTTAGGATAAATAACTAACTCAACTTACTTCCTTAATCTCCTCGAATTAGTCAACTGGCTCTTATAATGAAGATCGGAGTAGTATTAAAATTATTTTAAAATATTAGATTGTGTTAGAAAAATATTTTAAATATCTAACTAATATTTCTTTTGAATTATTACTCAGTGTTGTCCGTGATAGGGCTCGGTACGATGTGTTCTTGAGTTTCAGAGGGAAAGATACTCGGTCATCTTTCATTTCTCATCTCTACTCCTTTTTGAGCAATGCTGGAATTGTTGTTTTTCAAAGATGATGCAAACCTTTAGGGGTAATAGTATCTCAGTCGAATTGCCGCTTGGAATTGAATGTTCTACAATTTCGATCATTATCTTCTCCAAGATTATGCTGGTTCTAGATGGTGCCTCAACGAGCTCTCAAAAATCATGGAGCTTCACAGAGCACAGGGTCGGGTAGCTCTGCCTGTGTTCTATGGCGTAGATCCGTCCCAAGTTCGTAATCAAAGCTCCAGTTTTGGAGATGCATTTCGTGAGCTTATACAAAGAAGTTCACCCACAGAAGATGAAGTGTCGAGGTGGAGGACAGATCTCCGTGAAGCTGGGGGCATTGCAGGGTTTGTTGTGCTCAACTCCAAGTAATTTTCAAATATTTCATTTTTTTTTCTTTCTTTTCAATTTTGCTGAGCCTAAACAAACATACACAGTAGATTCTTGCTGCAACGTGCACCAAGTAGTCACTTGTAATTTTTTGCAAGTAATATTGCATGCATGCATACATACATATATATACATACATACAATTTGCTGGGGTGGAATTCTCACAAGCGACTGAAAGTTTTGAAGTCAAATATTGAGTGTATTATTAGTTAGCCAAAAATTTGTTTTACATTTTTTCCCCCCAAGTATGGCGATTTAACAAGCACAAGTGATGTTATGTTTTCTTTTAAATTATTGCTTTGAAGTTGGTCAAATTGACATGTCTTTTATTCTTATGACGCTTTTAATTAATTGTTAAGGTATTGCAAATGCCTTCACCGGTAAAAGCAAGAGATA